AAAATAGGAAAGCTTAAGCTAAAATTTATAGATTTATTTAGGATTTTTAAATATATTAGTAATTTAGTATATAAATTAGAATTACTAAATATATATAATTATTTATATCTAATTTTTTATATTTTTTTTCTTAAAAAATATATAATAAAAAAGAATTAGAAGCTATATTTATATCTTTTTAAAGAACTTCCAGAATTAGTAAATAATAATAAAGAATAAAAATAAGAAATAAAAGCTATTATTAATTAAATAGAAAGCCTGGCCTAAAGATTATAATACCTAATTACTTACTTTCTCTAATCTTAAAATTTTTAAGAAATTTCTAAAATTATATAATTAAAACTATAACTTAAAATCTAAAACTACTTTTTAATAATCTTTTAAAATTAAAAAGAATTCTAGATTACTAAGAAAAAGGCTATTTAAAAGAAAAAAAGAATCTAGATAACTAAGAAAAGGCCCGGAATAGTAATAAAGATATTCTTTCTCTAGGTTTTTTTACTTATAAAAGATTTTCAGGGTTTTATTAAGGCTTATAAGAATTATATTTAAATTATTAGAAAAAGATTTAGAATTAAAAAAGATTTATTATAAATAAACTAGCTATAAGTATTTTAAATAAATAAACTCTAATTTCTATAAATTCTTAATTTCTAAAATAAGAATACTAAATACTAGTTCTATTTAGGACTTAGTAAAGAATTAGCTAATATTTTCCGGAATTTGCTTATTTCTTAATAAGATATAATTATATTATAATAATATTAGTATTAAGAATATTAAGAAAAATAAGTAAGAAACTTATAATAGCTATATATGTCTTATAAAAGGCCCGAATTTCTGAAATTAGATCCCGAATAATTATAAGTATTATATTATTAGTACTTAAAGTACTAGTAGTAAATTACTTAGTAATCTCGGTAATAAGCTCAATAATAAGATTAATATCTTAAAGATAGATATTATAATATTTCTTTAAGAAATTAGTAAATATCTAAATATATTAAAAAAAACTTATTTTAGAAATACTAACTTAAATAATATTATTATTTGCTTTATTAAAATAGGAAGAAAAATTCCAAAGCTTATTAATATTCTTCTAGTTTTTAAAAACCTAATTAATAGTATTATTCTTATTAATATAATACTATTTAGAATATATTTTAAGAAATTTCTTAAAAGTTATAATAATATTTTCCTAAAACTAGTAAGCCTTTAATAAGTAATAAGAAATCTGAAATTATATTAGCTTTAATAAATATTAAAGCTAAAGAACTTACTAATATATAAGATTTAGAATTCTTATTATAATAGTTATAATTCTTCTTACTAGGTATTATAATATATAAAATAAAGAAATTAATAAGTAAATACTTGAAATATTTCAAGTATTTACTAGTAATAGGAAAGGAGACTATAAAATTATCTTTATATTTATTATTATATAGGTAGATAATAAAACTAGAAAAAAATATTATAGAATTAATTAAAAATAATTAAAGAGAATTTAGAGAAAAGTAGAAAAATAGGCTAAAAAATAATAATAGAAAAAGTTATTATATATATAGTTATTAGAAAGAAAGAAAGCATATAGTAATATAAAGAGGCCCTTTTATAGAAATAGAGAATTACCTGAATTAACTACTAGTTTTTATACTAGTCCTAATTAGAAATTAGTATAACTAATTAATATATGCTTCTAGAAGCCTATAAATAATCTCTAGAATTTTAGAAATATTTATATAGGTTTCTTATATAAATATTTATTAAATTCTTTTTATATAGTTATTTAGATTATTCTAATACGAGATCTAATAAATAGTAATAATTTCGTAAGATAGTGCCTTAGTATTTTAGATTAAGCTAATTAAAATACTCAGATCCCAAATAAAATCGTAATTACTAGCTAGCCCTTATATCTAGGGTATAATTATCTTTTCTTCTTACTTACTTAGCTCTAATCTAATTAGATAATTTTTATATCTATTATCTAGATTATATTAGTAAAACTATCTCTTAAGATACTAGAAGTTTACCTTAATTAAATAAATAATTAAATAAATATTTACTAGAATAAATTAATAGATCTTGGAAACAAGATTCTAGAAAAGGGGTATAATTATAATATATACAGGATTATACATAACTTAAGGGCATATAATAAATCTCGGATATTACGGGTATTAATTAGGGAAATTAGAGGCTCTTTGACTTTATAACTAACTACTATTTATATTACAAGTATTAGGCTTATAAATTACTAATTATATATATATTATTAGGGCCTCTTATTTAGAAGGGGCTTCCTTGGACCTTATAGGAGGAATAGAGATTAGTTCTATATTAAATTTAATACTATGGTTTTATAACTTACTAATTTATTCTATTATCTTATTACTTACTAATAAATACCTTATATTTATATACTATATATTATAAAGCAACTTATATAACTATATACGTTCTCTTTAATAATTTAAGACCTAATAAAAGAAAAAGCCTTAGTTAATAATTATAAAAGAAAAGACTTTTTATATTTTTTAAAGACTAATTAGTATTAATACTTGAATTTAAATAAGATTTAAGAAAAGAGAATTATTTAAAAAGAATTATTTATAATAATTAAGAACAAGAAAATAATATTAATAATATTAATTATTTTATTAGCTTATATAAGCTTAATTACTAGAATATATAATTCTAAAGCCTATAATAAATATAAATTTAAGTTTTTAATATAAGAGTAAAAATAATAATTATTTATAAATTCATTAATAATATTATTATAAGTATGAATTCTTTTTAATATAATTAATAATAATAAGTAAATAATAAAGTAAATAAAATAATAATTCAAGATATATATATTATATTTATTATTATAGTATTTAATATTTTATTTAAGAAATAATTAATACAGAAGAAGGAAAAGAACTCTCTAATTATTACAATTTTCCGTATTACTAAATATTAATTACTAGAATTAAAAAATTAATAAAAGTAAGTTTAATTTTCTAAAAAATTACGTAATCTTAGCTAAAATAGCTATAATTATAAGAATTTAATTGCCATATTCACAAGAAGCAGCTCTAGAAGAAATATTAGACGAATTAATTATTAAATATAATAGTAGCAGAAAATTTTGGGGTTGAGGCAAAATATGGTTTCGCGACGCAAATCAACCGTTTTTGAGGGAACCGACTGTATTAAATGAGCGAGACAGCCGTAGAAAGGGGGTAAAATCCAATAAAAAGCTCATTTAGTTCACTTTCTGGTTCGTGACAGCCTGGAACCCCGCTGTCTCCCTACTTTTAAATCGCACGAGACATTGGAGCTTTCCAATTTTTCGGGGCACGACTGTTCTCTCTTCGATTTCAAAATATTCAATGGAAATCTTATGAGAATAGATTCATATCTTGGGGGAATTAACTGACCTACGGAGTACGGTCGACAACGTGCTGTTCCAGTTGACCTGGAACCATTTCCAGCTCGTCGTCAGGAACCCGCAAGCCCGAGTACTCGGCTGGAATAGCATTCCAGGCCTTGCTGTTATATTAGAGTGCTGGTTCCTGAGATAGGCATGTAGATTTGAAATAACATACCCATGAAGCCGGCAGACAAGGGTTGGGTGCACCGGGTGCTGGACCATCCAGTCGACTATGGCTGCGTCTGGCGGTTTGGTTCTCGATGGCTAAGTAGCGTAAGGTCAGCCCCAAAGCAAAGACAACGACGAACTTAGGGTAACTTAGAGTAAGGAATTGCATACGCAACAATGCTCACACGACAATAAACCATTCTCAGGCTTACGAAGTCTCCGTTCAAGGTGCTGGATTTTGTAGGACTCAATGGCGGCCGGAAGGGGGGAAACGAGGGTTTACGACGCCCCTGGTAGTTTACTAGCAGTAGTAAGAGACCCCGGTTTTGGCCCCCGCAAAATTTTATGTGGGCAGAGTCTGCTACCGCCTGGTGGTATGGCTATTAATGCAGGCCAACGGTTAGGCCGTTCGCCATCCAATTTGGCGATTCCAAGGTGAGGTGCCCTGTACGAAGGCCCTGTCCTCTCCATCCAGGAACGGCCTAGATATGGGTGCAGGGTGCGGCCGCACGTATCGCGTGGCCTTTGCGTAGCCGGGATCAAAGGTCAATGCACGTTTCACTACAAATTACTGTACTATCTTGAAAATCAATAAAACAGTCAAGGAATAAGATATAAAGAAGGCGCTAGATGGCATAGATAAGCAATTAATACCTAATTACGCTAATATTACAATTTAAAAATTACTTATATAAAAATATAAATTCTTTATATTATAAACTCTTTATTAATATATAAAGAAAAGCTTTAATTAATTAAATTAATAAGTAATAATATAAATATTTTAATTTAGAATATTTAATATTTCAAGAATAGGAAAATCCTAATTAGCTAACCCATACGTTTACTTTAATTGCTTTACATTTTTAATGTCAGCCCAATTAATTAAACAATTAATTAATAATTAATTAGTTAGGTTCAAGTAACCTAGAAAATTAAGCGTGAATTTATCCCTTCGTCCGCTGAGACATTGCCACATTAGCGGCCGCATATAAATATCCCCAATTCGGCCAAAACATAATCCAAATTAGGGATATTCATGTGCGGCCGCTAATGTGGCAATGTCTCAGCGGACGAAGGGATAGGGTTCGTGCATTGATCTTGGGTCTCGGTTAATCACACGCGATTACTCGCTTAAATGCAATGCCCCCCCTATGTTTTGCTTATCGTCTATTAACGCAATGACTCTTCCTATCCTCTTACCAGGTCCAACACCGATACGACGAATGGGATTTATGTTAGTCGGGGAAATCGCATTTTGCGCTGCAAAAACTCGAAAGACTTGAGGTTGGTGGAGATTGGGTGGGGAAAACGCATTCTGCGCCGCAAAAAGTCGAAATACTAGAGGTAGGGAGAGATTGAGTGGCATTTTGTGCCGCAAAAGTCAAAATACTTATGGCAGGCCATTCAGTATGCATATATGCACTAGACAAAAAACCAATTAGAAGAAATAATGGACGTTGGGCTCGCACCCACCTCCCCAATCCAGAATTGTCCAAGTCACACATATTGTCATAACACGTTCGCGTTAGTTGGCTATATAAACCAGCAGTCATGTCGTCCCTGATGAGCGCTCAAGGCAAAAGATTTCTACCGGTTGACACCACCATCACAACACAATATCTCGTCCTGTGTTCAACACATTCCGCTTAACCCTCAGACCCAACCTTAAGCCCAACTCAGCCAGTTGTGTCATGTTTCCGGTCTTGTCGCGGCAAAGCACCGCTGGTCTCACCAAACTGGCCCTTCTCGGCGCCTTGGCTCTCATTCCTTCGAACCATGCTGCCGCAATCGCTCCACGAGACGCTCCTATCAGTGTTATGGTCGTGGGGGGCTCCATCTCCCAGGGTCGTCAGGGCGACTACACATGGCGCTATCGTATGTGGGAGTGGTTCACGGATAATCACGTCGGCGTCAACTTCGTGGGGCCTTACACGGGTACCTGGGGACCTCTCGGGCCCGAAGCACCAGCGCCACCTCTTTTGTATGGGGAATCAGCGCTACCCTCCGCCGCTCTCGCCAACGGGGGCTATGCCGCCGATATTGACAATGGCTTCCTTTTGAATACCTCGCATTTTGCCATCTGGGGACGCCAGCTTGCTGAAGATGTCCCCCTCATCTCGGGCATGGTGAGTCAGCACTGGCCGGAGTTGCTGCTCGTTGAGCTTGGCTTCAACGACATTGGCTGGTTCATAAGCGATGCTGCGGGAACGTTGACCAACATGGAGACCTTCATTTCTTCGGCCCGGGCCGCAAGGTCCGACCTCAAATTCGCCATTGCCAACGTCCCCATGTGCGCACCTTTATCGGCGGTCGTGACGATCTCATCACCAAGACAGAGGCATACAATGCGCTGCTAGCGGCAAGCATCCCCACATGGAGCACGGCTGAGTCACCCATCTACCTCGTCGACTTTCGGATAACTACTCTTGTGAGCCAGAGGGAGGTTGTCCTGCCGGGACTGACGGCCTTCACCCGGACGCCTTGGGAGAATTCGAGATCGCGAAAGCGTTCGCGGACACGCTGCACTATGCCTACGGCCTTGGAAATGGCCCCCTTTCTATCCCCGACAACATCCCTGTCCGGCCATGCCCCACGCCTTCCAACATCGCAGCCGTGACTTCAGTGTTGAACTAGCTAAAGCAATATAGCTAGGGTCACGTGCTTGCAATGTAAACCAAGTAAAACGTACTGAATTGACTGCTGTTCTACAGTGGTAAGTAGCCCGTATATATAGCCCTGAACCCCCTAAGTCACATGTACTAAATCCCTATGCCAGCTGAACCGATTACAGCTATACAGGGTATTCCAGCCGTACATGGTATTCCAGCTATACAGGGTATTCCAGCCGTACAGGGTATTCCAGCTATACAGGGTATTCCAGCCGTACAGGGTATTCCAGCTATACAGGGTATTCCAGCTGGACAGGGTATTAAGCTAGTGCACAGCCCCATGGCGTTCGGTTCCAGGGCTTACTAAGCCTATTAGGGGCCTCAGGCCCCTAATTTCAACATTCAGTCGCTGGTGTAACCGTCACGTGGAATGAAGTCTATGGCGCGTACGGCTACTCGGTCCAATTCAGGTTTGTGGGAGGAAGCTGGAGCACTTTCAACATCAGCGATACCGGTTATGACACGACCTGGACGGTGGCCGGCATCACCTGGCAGTACACGGTTCAAGCCTATGGTGGCAACGAGGTTTCGGGCTGGACCAATATTGTGCAAGCTACCGCCGACCCCATCACTGCCCTAGGGCCCTCGAATATCTGGGTCACACCCACGGCCGATGGCATTGACTTGACCTGGGATGCGGTGCAAGGGTACGATGTTGACCTCTACGGCGTTTACAACTGGGACACTACGATGGTACAGCTGGTATGTTTTGGTCCCTGTTTTTTGCAGGGGTCGCAGCTCTTCCTAGCAATGCCACCACAACAATCCAAAATTTCTGGGAAACATGTATTCTTATATTTACCTAGTCTTAAGGAGCATATACCTATTTTTATAATTTTTTTTTCGTCCAAAACTACCAGAGTTACGTGGTGTTGAAGGTGCACCCCCCTGTCGACAGGGGCCAAAACATACCAGCTGTACCATCGTACTGCTGCTGGAGCTATCATGGTAGATTATGGGTTCACCGGCACCTCGGCGTCGCTTACTGGCCTGACACCTGGCGATCACTACGTTCTTGCCGTTGAGACATGGGCCACGGTCGATGGCACCCTTGCCGCTGGCATTCCCTCTATTGCCAGGGGCGCAGTTGCCGGTGGAGAGCCGGAGGGGCCTACCAACTTCCAAGTGGTAACCATCAACTAGGGCGCAACTGTCCAGATGACCTGGGACGCCATGGGCTATGCCTATGGATACCGCATCTGGACCCGTAACATTCAGAACGCTAGCGATGTGTTGACCCCCGGGATACTCTCATCCACCGAGACCTGCGCTGGCGCTACTTACTTGTTTCCCGGAGCCTGGAACTACGAGTTCTGTGTGACGTCCTATAATGGCAACTACGAGTCGGTCTTAACCGGCTGCACAGTAGCGCCTGAAAAAATCACCACCGTCTCCGAGTGTCCAGTTGCCTCATCGGCAGCTGGAGTTGCTTCAACACCAACGGTGACTTGGTCACCCCCATCCATAATCACGCCTATGTCTTATGCAGTCCCAACCACCTCCTCGGCCACCTCAGCAATAGTCACCACAGCCACCGCCTGGGCATATGGCCTTGGGTTACAAACTGAGAATAATTGCATTCTGCAAAGCGAAAGTTCTGGCTGCCAACCCACGAGATTCTCCCAGTGTTTCTTTTCGATACCAGGCACGTGCGATAATTGTGGTGAAAACTTGCTAAACAATAATAATTTTTTCTTGGCTGGCGAGGATGTCACCAATCCTCCCCAATACAGCAACGGCGGCAAAAGCACCGTCTACTACCATTCGGAAGGGATGACTCAGGACGAGGTTGCATATGCGCCTATGTACTCTTATGCTGGGATATTGACTGTGAATGCTACAGGCGAGACCATGAGGTGTATGATAATGGGTGGCGAGAATATGTGCTCGGTAAATATTGTTATAGATGAAGAACTGCCGAACATGTATGTAGTATGTGATCCAAGCATCTGAGAGCTTGTTCTCGACAAATCTTAATTTAAACACATTCTCTATTAAAACGTTTCACTCTCCACTTGACACTACTTCCGTAGTTCCGCATAAACCACCGGTAGAAGGTACATAAGCCTGGGAAGGACTGGAACTCCCTTCACTGTCTTCGCGGCTTCCCACCAGCGAATTTATTAGCCTCTTCTCGAGATCTGCCTCGGTATTATCGGTACGCATGATAAAAACCAAGATACTTCGTACGAATTACGCTAAAATCAGGCTTCTTAATATCCGCCTGTAGGCCAGCCTCTCGTAGTCTCTGAAATACCTCGCGGACGTGCCACTCATGTTTTAATTGGTTCTAGGAGTAGATCATAATATTATCTAGGTAGGTAGTACAGAAATCATTAAGGGAGTCAAACAGGGTGTATTCATGAAATCGCTGGTAATATGCCGGTCACGTCGTAAGTCCGAGGGGGAGAACGTTACTTGGGCGAGCCAGAGCTAGTTCTAAACGGCGTGAGGCCTTCTGAGGCAGGGTCCATTCGTATTTTGTAGAATGTCTAGCGAATGTCTAGCTTCATAAGGATCTGGGCCTAGAACATATGGTTAAGAGCCTCATCGAGGAGCGGGAGCGGGTATCGGTCCTTGCAAATCAGGTTATTCAGTTTCTGGTGTGAGGTGTTTGGTTAGTAGGCAACTAGCGGGTGAGGGATGATCTGGGCATTGAATGCTTTTAGTGAGAGGAGAGGAAGCGAGCTATAGCTAGAGATGTATGCGGAACTAGCTCTAAAACCCCTCATTTTTTGGAGGGGAGTGGGGGGGGGTTAAAAAGTGAAAACTATATTAGAGTAAAAGAAAAAAAGTACTAGTTAAAATAATTAAAATGCTAGTCTAATAAGTAAAACTAGTTAAGTAATAACTAATCTTATATAGTATTTGTAATGTATGCAGGGTCGCACGTGACTTAAGGACATATAACGAACCTCGGATATTGCGGGTATTAATTAGAGAGATTAATAGCCCTTTAATATTATAACTAACTACTATTTATATTATAAGTATTAGGCTTATAAATTACTAATTATATATATATTATCGGGGCCTTTTATTTAGAAAAGGCTTTTCTAAACCTTATAGAAGAAATAGAGATTAGTTCTATACTAAATTTAATACTATAGTTTTATAATTTACTAATTTATTCTATTATCTTATTACCTACTAATAAATACCTTATAAGCTAATCTCTTTATTTTTAAAGAAGGTAGTTTAATAAGTAATTATATCTCGGAATCTGTAAAATATATAATCTTTTACTAAAGCTATTTCTATAAAGAAAATTAACTAGATTAACCCTAATATAAGTAATAGCAAAGGCTTATTTAATACTTTTAATAGGGCCCTTTAGGAGCCTCCGAGAGCTAGTAATAATAACGGAAATAATCCCGGTAATAATTAAAATATCGAGATTAATACTCAAGTTACTATTATTTAAGCTATAAAATAGGTGTAATAGGCATATGTAATAATATATAGATAGGTGTCAGATATTATAGATCTAGTTTCCTATTTTAGGTAAAGCTTGCAATCGGAATTATACGGGTAATCGGAATTATATGAATTATATGAGATCGTATTTCCCAGTTAAGTAAAGTGCTTTGCAGGCTTGGCTAAGTACTAGGGAACATAAAGAGAGACGCTCCTAGCTTTAGAAAAGGGGCATTAATTAGTCTTTTATTAGAATTAATTCTTGGAATTAGTTATACTTGCAAGTATTACTCTATAGCTTACTTACCTTAACTACTTATATATTACCCTGCTATTATATACCTTATATTCTAATTAATCCAACCTTCGGGAAGTAGTTTATTACGAGGTAGTCAAGCTATTAATAGACGAAACTATTAATAGCTAGAGTATTAACTAGAAGAAGCGCCTCTACTACCGCTGGAGTAATCTAGCCGGGTACCTAGGGGAGCGCCTAGTCAAGTACTTTTCGTACTGCCTAATTAGGAGAAGGAAGTGGAATTCAGATACCCCCAGAACTAGTAGATAGGATAATAATAATAGAGAAATTAGCGGCGGCTCGCTATTATATTACTAAGTTAGAAATAGAAATATAATAGAGAGAAGATCTAGAGGAACTAGAAGCTTAGATCTATTATCTTAAAGATATTTGGATATCCGGTATAAAACCCGTTATATTCCCGGTAATATCCTTAGTTCGGAGAGCTCTAAAAACCCGAGAACTACCTACTTACCGGGGAAAGAGTATTAAAGAAGCCCAGGATTTCTTTTATTATATAGAGTTAAAATAGTATAAAGATAATAGAATTATCTAGGCTACTAATATAATAAAGGTTATATATTATACTTCCTATTTTGAGGATATAGCCAGGGATATCTAGAAATATAGGAAGTAATTAGTAGATATTAATATTATGAATTAGGAGACCTTTATTAAATTTATAAAGAATTCTATCTTAAATCCGGAAAATTATAGTAATAATATCCTTATTAAGTTCAAGAATATTAAATAATAGCCAGGCTAGAATATCTAAAGCTTTATATCTTATTTAGATAGTCTATTAAATAACTTAGGATATATAGGTTTATTATAAAAGCAGAATAACTTATTTAATAGCTTAAGGCAAGAGATCCGAAATAAGATTAATTATTAAGGAAATACTTTATAAAAAAAAGAGAAGCTTATTTTTATTACTATAAGAGTTAAGAATAATTTAAACCTATTTATTTAACGGGAATATAATAATAAGCTAATAGAATAGTAAAAGAAAAGAAAAAAGAGATAATAAAGGGAAATAAAAGAGAAGTATATTTCTATTATAAGATTTATAAAACCGGAATAGTAAAAATATAGTAATAAAGTCTAATATAATACCTATATTAGAATTTATAAAACCAGATATAATTTGCTTTATTTACTAAAAGAAAAGTTACTATATTATTACTTATTCTAATTAAAGGAAACCGACTTACTATAACTATAATAAGTCTAGTTATAAAATATATAAGTATCTAGAACTAAAGAAGCCGGGAAATAGATATACCCTATAATAATTATACTTATTTATATTATAAAAAGTAAGGCTCCTAAAACGAAAATAATAATTAAAATTATTATTAAGATAAGGAAAGATAAATAAAAGGTTAGAGTATTAGTAGACTCGAATATAAAGGCTAATTATATAAAGAGGAAATTAGCTTTAAATATAGGTATTCTATTAATATTAAAGGTAATTCCCTTATTCTTACTAGAGAAAAGGAGAATTCATTTATATAGAGATTATATTCTTGGGATTACTATTAAAGATATACTAGGGAACTAAAAAGAGGCTAATATATACTTTATATTATATAATTTTAATCTAAATTATATTAATATAATATTTGGATTCCTATAGCTTTATTAAATTAATTCTCTAATTTCCTTTAGGGAAATAATATAAAGATACTAGATTTAATTATAGAAGATTAAAATTCTAAATACTAGAAAGTTTACTAAAATAATAAAATATAAGATATATGTTTTTTTATTAACTACTTATCCTATAATAAATAGCTAAAGAATTACTACTATTATTACTAATAGAATAGTTATACTTCCCAAAAGGTATTAGGACCTTTTCTAAATATTCTCTATAGAGGCTATAGATATATTATCCGACTATTATATAATAGAGTATTATATAAATCTGGAACCAGAATCCTAACTACTATATAGTCCTATATATGTTTTATTAGAAAAGAAGCTTAAAGTCTTTTAGAAATATCTTAATACTAGCCTAGAGAAAAAATAAATCCGTTATTTTACTAGTCTAGCTAATATTTTAATTATATTTATTCTAAAGAAAGAAGGCGGCCTATATCTATATATTAATTACCGGAGTCTAAATAGAATTACTATTAAGAACCGAATACTATTATTATTTATTAATAAGACTATAAATAGGCTTTATAAAGCGAAAATATATATAAAGCTAGACTTGAAAAATGTTTACTATTAGTTATAAATATAAAAGAATAATAAATAGAAAATAGTATTCCGAATATATTATAGATATTTTAAGTATTATATTATATTCTTTAAACTATCTAATATTCTAGTAATATTTCAGATATATATTAATTATATACTAGTAGGTCTTATAAATATTATCTATATAGTTTATCTAGATAATATTCTAATTTATTTAAAGAACCCAGAATAATATATAGTAATAGTCTAATATATATTCAAGTAACTATAATAATACTAGCTTTTTATAAACTTAGTAAAATACGAGTTTAATATAAAAAGAATAGAGTTCCTAGAATTTATAATTAGTTCAGATAGTATAGAAATAGAAGCTAGTAGAGTTATAGCTATTAGGGAATAGCTGGCCCTAAAGAATAATATTTGAGAAATCCAAATATTCCTGGGT